TGTGTTCAGAGAGAAGAAGTAACAGACCAACAGTAACAGACCAGAAGTAATAGTCCAACGCGTCGCTGGTCGATTCGGGAATTATGGATATTTTACAAATGGGTTTACCTTTTGGATTATAACGTCTCTCAACCACGGGAGGATTATTATGGACACCACTAAAGCTTTCTGGCCATAATTTAGAAAGTATACTTTAGTCCTAAACATAGTCTAGGACAAAAGTAAACTTTCAGTGTGTGTACATACAACCAGGAGCGATATATATATATATATATATATATATATATATATATATATATATATATATATATATATATATATATATATATATATATATATATATGACTATTCAAGCCATTCAGGCTTGTTCGCATATATAAATATATATATATATATATATATATATATATATATATATATATATATATATATATATATATATATATATATATATATATATATGCTCTTAGTACATTATATTTCAAGAAAACAAGTACAGAATACATCAGAAATAAAACTCATAATTACGTATGATCGTCAAGTGAAGGTAGAATGTTTCTGAAAGTATGGGTTCAGCTGTTGTATCCATACTGTTGTATCTGAAGCTGAAGCTGTATTATAAGCTAATTGAAATAAAAAAATTTTTACGAAGCGCTGCTGTACGGGAAACACCAACAGTTAAGGCAAGTCCAACAACTGCATTGTTGGACTTGGATTCGAACCCAGGCCGTATATAAATAAATAAATAAATTATATATATATATATATATATATATATATATATATATATATATATATATATATATATATATATATATATATATATGTCGTACCTAGTAGCCAGAACGCACTTCTCAGCCTACTATGCAAGGCCCGATTTGCCTAATAAGCCAAGTTTTCCTGAATTAATATATTTTCTATAATTTTTTTCTTATGAAATGATAAAGCTACCCATTTCATTATATATGAGGTCAATTTTTTTTATTGGAGTTAAAATTAACGTAGATATATGACCGAACCTAACCAACCCTACCTAACCTAACCTAACCTATCTTTATAGGTTAGGTTAGGTTAGGTAGCCGAAAAAGTTAGGTTAGGTTGTCGAAAAATAATTAATTCCTGAAAACTTGGCTTATTAGGCAAATCGGGCCTTGCATAGTAGGCCGAGAAGTGCGTTCTGGCTACTAGGTACGACATATATATATATATATATATATATATATATATATATATATATATATATATATATATATATATATATATATACTGAGGAGATTGCGACTCTGATATGGTTAACCACTTTTGATGTGCTAGAGAGAGGCTTTAGAGGATCTTATGGTGCCCTCAGAAAGATCACACACACACACACACACACACACACACACACACACACACACACACACACACACACACACACACACACACACACACACACACACACACGTGAGTACTCGTACTAGGTGAGTACACACCCAAGACTCGAGGTATACAAATGAAACAAAGACAGGATGGTTTTCCTCTACAGGGCCCTAAGGAGAGGATATGCCTGGAAGCAATTCAGTAATGATAAAAATAAACAGCCCATGCTCCTAAAACTTAAGTACTGATAGTAACTGTTTGGTCGATAGTATCAATATGTTGTGAAGGACCACCAAAAAGTTTACTTTTTGTACTATCGAACTTTGACAAATGGAGAACTTTTTTAACTGCAACATAAATATAAGACCTAACCTAACGTCTCCTAGCAATCCTAGGCCTAATACACCATATCTTAGGCTTAATATAGTGCATATTCACTGGCTGCCTGTCCCATGACGTAATAAGTTATTATTATATATGTATTAAACTAGACATAGGAATATTTAAATTTAGTTTATCTTTTCCCTGACTCTATAATATTAGAAGTACAGATACTGAATTTTGCAACTAGCTCATCAAGATTGTAACTTGCTTAGCTAAATAAATTGTGAGGTTCAGTCCCTGAGCCCGTTATGTGCCTCTGTAACCCTTTCCACTACCACCCACAAGATGGGCATGGGGTGCATAATAAATGAACTAAACTAACTGTAACGTCGGTTACCGTCATCCTTCACTACATATTGGTACTTTCGACCAAATAATTATTATATATACCATCATTTCAGGAGGAAATAAACCGACAAGTTACTGTAACCTACAAAGCGCTATGTGCGGTGCAGAATATTGAAGAGAGCCTAGATATCATTCAGGATATCGAGCACCATAGCACATAAGATGATTGATGTCAAACCAACTAGAGTCGCCGAAAACGCGTCGCGTATAGGAACATCAGGAAAGAGGGACGGGGGTCACGTAGTGTATATGAATGGCATTAAAATAAAACCGGATCATCCTGAAAATCAGGACAATCTACCAGTAGAACCGTCAGTTGAACAATCTACCAGTAGAACCGTCAGTAGAATAATCTACCAGTAGAACCGTCAGTAGAACAATCTACCAGTAGAACCGTCAGTAGAACAATCTACCAGTAGAACCGTCAGTAGGATAATCTACCGGTAGAACCGTCAGTAGAACAATCTACCAGTAGAACAATCTACCAGTAGAACGGTCAGTAGAACAATCAACCAGTAGAACCGTCAGTTGAACAATCTACCAGTAGAACGGTCACTATAACAATGGAGTTCTGACAGTAAGACACCAGATTCTCGGTCCATAGCTTTACAGATATAACAGTATGACTATACAGCACTTGGAAGGGAAGTGAGGACAAGGAGTTGGGAAATGAGGCCGGAGTGAAGGAACGGTGGCCACCTATTTGTATTTTCGGGGCTCGAACGCCGACCCTGTAAGAGAGAAGACCGTCACACTGCTGACCAGTCCAGGAAATTATAAGAGACTGGCAGATTTCTGAATCATAAAGGATGAACACATGGGGCGTAGTCATTGCTTGAAATCTTATGCCAGAGTCTCACATTGGCAGAATGATGTCAGACTGGCCAAAGTCAGCAAACACTTTCAGAAACTTAAAAGAAAGGGCCGTCCGAATGCTATATACAACCTACGTGAGACCACTCTTGAGTATGCAGCTCCTACATGGAACTTCTCATTTGAAAAGGCACAAAACATAACTAACAAAAATTCTAACGATATGTAAAAAAGCTTGTTTCTGAGCTGAGGAAACTGGGCTACGAGGAAAGAGCGAAGGAACTGAACATAACCACAATGAAGCGAATGAACAAGGCGGGCATGATAACGACATATAAAATATTAAGAGGAATTGAAACAGTAGAATCAGTGCTAAAAGTGGTGAACAGTAAAGATGGAAACAAGATATCACAGATGTGAAAAAGAACTTCCTCAATGCAAGAGTTTAAAATTAACACGAAAAAAATAAATAAGAGAAACGAGACATGAATTTGAAGAATTAAGATTTGCAGTGAATTTCTAATAACTCGTCCCTACAAGAACATTCCCATCAGCCCTCCTCCCCTCCCTTCCTCCTGCCCCATCACTTCACTCCCCCCATCCTTAATCACCACTCCTTTCCCCTCCCTCATCACTCCTACAGTCCATCCCATGTCAAGTATCTTCCATGCCATTGACCACCCTCTCGACCTTATACTCCCTGGCCACCTCCTCACCCTTACACATCTAAAGCACCTCCTCTAACCATCAGCCACACACAAATCCCTTTCATACAAGACCATGCAGGCTAACACTAATTTGTGAATAGGCGCAAAAATATACATATATACATACATACAAGCAAATTATATATACATATCTGCGACCACACTTGTGTATGATCACACAAACAAACACGTGAGTATATACATTTAGAACCAGACTGTCTACACCCCATTTAGCTTCCCTGAACTCTTAGACGTGTTTGCGTGTCTCTTTATTCTGGGAAACAACTGACTCTCCATGCATTTGGTCAATGTTATTTTCGCCTTTTTTCTGGTAAACAGCTCTCCATGCACGTGGTCAATATGTAAACGATTTCAAACCAAAACCGCAAAAATAACAAGAACGATGAACTATTTATAATTACTTTCTGGTAAAATAAGCTATTGGGCTGAGATGAACAGAGATGACGGCCTTCATAGACCTGGAAAGTTTCATTTTATTGACTATAGTTTTTGTTGATCGAAGAACTTTTTGTTTTATTATGGAAGTGTTTTTAAAGTGGAAGTGTTTCTTTGTCAAGAAATGTATTATAAACATCCAAACAGCTTCCGTTTTGTCCCTTTTTTGGATGGGAACACTTTTCAAATCTTTAGTTTTGGCTTTGCATTCTTTTGACCTTTGTAAATATTCTTATATTAGAAAAACCTTGATTCTTAATGTTTTTTTTATGTCAAAAGGACCTTAGAGTCTTTAAGAGGAAATCTTTTTCGCTCATGTGATATTTTAATGATCTCGTTGTGATAGTCTTAGATCTGGAGACACTTGTGGTGTATAAGTACTTGTAATGAAGAAATCTCTTCTAAATGTGAGGGTTTTTATGATCAAAACCCAGCTCAGCAAGGAATGTTTAGCGGAAACTATTAACAATGTAGGTTTTGAAAATTGATAACTTGCTCTTTGTGTGTGAGATGCATCTCATAACATCTTTACAGACGACCCCATTCGGTTAGACTGGTCGGTACAACGACAGCTTCGCTTCTTTCAGGGTCGGTCTTTGAACCCCCATGGTCGAAGTAGTTGGGCACTGTTCCTTCATTCCCTCCTTATATTCCAACTCATTGTCCTTACATCCCTTCTAAGAGTAATTAACTCATCCTGGTTTTGTGGTTTGTGCAAGTCTCCCTCACTGGAAGTATAGGTTACAGATCACTGGAATGAGATCATTGTTAATACAACGAAGAGAGTGAAGAAGAGAAAGTGCTCTTGATTTTAGAGGGAAAAGCTTTACTTATGACATGGGATTCCTCACAATGGGCATGAAGTTTTACTGTATTATAAACAATAAAGCTTAAAAGCTTAAAGCTTAATGAAGTTTTAAGTTTTCAGGAAAATACTTTCATGTATGACATTCTTTGGAAAACGACACCTCCACTGACCTTCGTAGAAAATAAAGAGAGCAAAAAGGTAGTTCAGCAATATATATTATATTGATAGTATGGTTAAAAAAAAAGGGGGCACGAAGAACCAGACGATAATTTGTTCATGTCAAATTTGTTAAATATAATTTTAAAAGTATCTGTAATACAATATAAACATTTAAAGGTGACCCAGACACGTAATCAGAGTAAAAATTAAAAAGAAAGAAGGGAATGTGTTGTTAAAAATACAATATCTAATACCACATGATTTCTCTGTCCCACCTCACACACGGAGATAGAGGGAAGGAGAGAGACCACTTTACTTCCAGGTCGCTGTGAACGCCACAAAAAAGAGCGAAGGTCAAGGGATGACATACAATAGTATGGAGGATCTCTTGTCTTTGAATATGGTCTTACCTGGATTGTAATGACCTGCATTACTCTGATATCTCTGACGATATAAGCAGCCACTGATATCTCTGATGATACCAGAGTAATATCAAAGTTCCTGAATCAAAATTCCTCTGATTTAGGAACTTTGGGTCGGTGTTCTGCTCAGATCTCGGTTGTGTTGATTTGCTCACTTATATAATGAACCAAGTGGGAAGATTTATTCCACGTGTTTGAGATTCATCTCTCGGTAGCATCTTGCAGGTTTTTGTCATATTTACTACCTAAATACACGCCTTTATATGGGTAAAAAATATGAGATTGTTGCAGAAATGTGGAGTGTAACCAGACGCAGCCACTGGAAGATTCCACCAACATTAACAAGGTAATCTATTGAGAAACCATCGCCTTGTTCTGCCTAACGGCTGTGCTCTTGAACACAACGTGGGAGAGAGGTGGCGCGACGTCCCACCAAGCCTAGGTCATGTTATCAGCTCCACAAGTTAAGCCTCATCACTGGGAACATGTGTAGCAAACTCGTTGTGCTCAAGGCGCTTCTCTCTATCAACTTCTCTTTGGTAACAGCTTATGTACAAACAAGTAGAAATTATACAAAATGTTTCTGGGTAAACACGTTATTTTAAACACACATTCTCTACCTTTTTTCCACATTAATGTAATCGGTTCACTTTATGACAGGTCGATACTTTCAATAAAGTTCTCTTGAAAGCCTTTCTACTGGCACATCATGATGGAGGTAACTCCAAGACTTTTTAGTATCGGAAAGTAGCCTTCATCTGGATATTCGGAGAGACCAGAGTCTGAAAACGAGATACTTAACCGCAATCACGTGGGCTCCGACTCCATTACTCGCTTGTATCGGAGAGAACCACTATCCGGATATCCGGAAAAATAAGATGCTGAAGATGCGACACTCAACCGCAATTTTGAGAGATTATCACAGTCCCCCTTGGTCATTCTTGTCCATGGTGTACATGTCAAGGACCAGCCTGTGGATGGGCGTATCTCCCACCGTGTCCTTGAAGAAGAGGCCTTCCACCGTGGTGGCTCGCACGGTCTTCAGCCCCGGCAGGAGGAGCAGGAGGCGGCCGAAGCGAGTAGGCTGGCGCGGGAGGCGGGTTCTGATGTAGTCGCTGAGGATGCACTGAGCTTGATCCTGCAACATCTCCACCGGGTGCACGTCAACAAGGCCGCTGGCGTCTGAGGGCGAGATGGAAGAAAGAACCTGGGTTAGCTAAAATGGAACAGTAACTAATTTAAAACGTACTTGTATTATGTATACCTTTTTAAAATCATCAACGTCTTACTTTTTACAGAGCCCCCAAGAATGCGTGCACGAAGCCCCCAAGAATGTGTCCAAGGAGCTCTCAAGAATAAGTCCACGGAGCACCCGAGTAAATTTCCACAGAGCAACCAAGAATGTGTCCACGGAGTTTCCAAGAATGTATCCACATAGCTTCCAAGAATGTACGCACGGAGCACTCAAGAATGGATTCATGGAGCACCCAAGAATATGACCATGGAGCCCTCAAAAAACGTAAGAATGAAGTGTTCAACTCCAGCCTTACAAACAAAACAAAGTCAAACAATAAAAACAGATATTGACCATTTTAACACCGCTTACAGAGCATTAACTTATCACAAACAATACACACACACACACATACAACAAAGCACTGACGTATCACAAACATTACATATACACATTGCATATACAAGCAGATCTTGTTGCTAACATTATTAAACCCGGCGATAAAGCTGAACGCTAAAATATTACATATATTATATCCTAGATCCCCGTCCTCATATACCACCCAAGTGTTATATAGTCGTAACGGTTTAGTGAATTTTCCTGGTAATTACCTCACACGCATTCCAGATCAACCAGTCACGAAATAAACATCGTCGAAGTGTTGATTATCACGCCGCTAGCTCACAACACCATATGGATATTATAGGTGACAAAACAGGTCACAACTATCCAGCCTCGTTCTGAGTCGAGAGTCATTGTAGGATAGATGGACGTAAACAGTAATGCAGTATGAAGGTTCCCTCGCTGTTTTATGCTTGCTTCTCGCTGTTCTATCCTTGCTTTTCGCTGTTTTATGCTTGCTTCTCGCTGTTTTATGCTTGCTTCTCGCTGTTTCATGCTTGTTTCTCGCTGTTTTATGCTTGCTTCTCGTTGTTTCATGCTAACTTCTCGCTGTTTCATGCTAACCTTTCGCTGTTTTATGCTTGCTTCTCGCTGTTCTATCCTTGCTTCTCGCTGTTTCATACTTGCTTCTCACTGTTTCATGCTTGCTTCTCGCTGTTTCATGATGCTTCTCGCTGTTTCATGCTTGCTTCTCGCTGTCTCATGCTTGCTTCTCGCTGTCTCATGCTTGCTTCTCACTGTTTCATGCTTGTTTCTCGCTGTTTTATGCTTGCTTCTCGCTGTTTCATGCTAACTTCTCGCTGTTTCATGCTAATTTCTCGCTGTTTCATGCTTGCTTCTCGCTGTTTCATGCTAGCTTCTCGCTGTTTCATGGTTGCTTCTCGAGGTTTCACTTTTGCGTCATTCTAGTGTTTTAAATGATTGTTTTCATGTCTCATAACATCCATACGTGTGAATGCAAAGTTTCAGTGTATAATTAGCGAGCGAAGACCATCAAATTAAGATGAAAAAATACATATAAGAAATTTAGTAAAACATATAGTCTTACTAAAGAAGGAAAACATACTCTAAGAACTATTGAAATAACACCAAAGACTGGAGACTGAAGAATGTGGTGGCGGACGATACTATGTGGTGGCGGATGATATTATGTGGTGGCGGTTGATACTATGTGGTGGCGGTTGATATTATGTGATGGTGGATAATGCCATGTGGTGATGGACGGTGTGTTTTGGAAGACAACACCTATGTGCTCCATGTCGTCTTTCACCACATAATATCGTCTATTACCACTTAGTATCTTCGACCACCACATAATATCAACCGCCACCACATAGTATCGTCCACCACCACATAGTGTTATCAACCACCACCACATAATATCGTTCATCACCACATAGTGTCATCCACCACGACATAATATCATCCACTTCCACATAATACCATCCATAAACTCCAACAGAATAATCCACCTCCTCCTACGTTGACCAATCATCCTCCTTTCCTTCCCACGTCGACCAATCAACCTCCACTACCTCCTACGTCGACCAATCATCCTCCAAGATTCATCACTTACCGGGCTTGAAGAGAACGACAGCCTTCAGACATCCACACTCCGTGTTGTCTGGGGACAGGTGTCGGAAGCGCCTGAGCACATCCTGGATAGTGGCTAGCTCCAGAGCCGTCCGTTCGTCGCTCCCCAACCTGAGGATAGGGACAGGAGAACACTTTATTAAATGACAGCAAAGGAACGTACAGAAGGCTTATTGGTTCTGATTTTATTTCCAATTAAACTCATTCATTGTTTTATCTACGTTTGAAACACTGCAGCGATCCCACGGCTTCTTGTCACCTAGTCTTGTCACGCCTGGAGTGTGAGAGTTACTGGAGTGTGAGAGTTACTGGAGTGTGAGAGTTACTGGAGTATGAGAGTTACCTGGAGTGGGCAGCGGGGCTTTGGAGGAGGGCGCTGAGGTCGAGCGGCAAGTACCATTGTGCCAGATGTACGAGGAACAACTCCTTCCACGACTCCTCCACCAACACACACTGTGAGGGAGAGAGGAGATAACGTGACTATGTGGGTAACGTGACGGTAGCGGAAGTGTAGCTATGGGGTGACGTGCTATGGGGTGACGTGGCTATGGGGTGACGTGGCTATGGGGTGACGTGGCTATGGGGTAACTTAAGGGCGAGGCTAGCTTCAAAGAGAGGGGTAATTTAACAGATGAAAATGACTGAGAGGGTAACTTGACCGAGAGTAACTTGTCTGAGGGCGGAACTTAACTGAGGTGTTTTATTTGACGAGAAGGTTTAACGTGACTTATGTGATAACTTGAATGAGGGGTTTAAGATTGACTGAGGGGAGTTAACTTGCCTGAGGGAATAACTTGACTGCAGGGGTAACTTAATTGATTAGGGTAATTTGCTTCAGGTATTAGTTTGATAGAGGGGAGTAACTTCAAGTAACTTGATAAAGGGAGTTACTTGACTAAAGGAGGTAAATTCTATTTAGGGGGTAACTTGACTGAAGGTAACTTTGATTAAGGAAGTAACTTGACTGAGGATTTAACTTGAATGTGTGGTTTTGTGAGCCCAAATCATCAACAAGACGACATAGAAACTCGAGGACCTGCGACACATTCTCGTCGAGCAAACAAAACCATTATAACAGCAATTTCCGCTAACCAAACAGCCTTGCTTAACCATGCCACGAAAGCATTAGTCACAGACTGCCTGATTTATAGAGTGCGGCTTGACAACTGCTGCCCTCTGGCGGCCGCCGGGCCAGAGGGGCTCCCAGCGCGCCTTCTCCTGCCCAAGTGTCATCAGATTCGAACTTTTAACAACTCTGCGCATACTTTTAAATGTTGTTATTTATGGAGCTTGTTATCATAGTTCATCAAGCTTACGTAACGGGGCACACTAGATTGTCCGCCTTTATAGTGATGCGATATATATATATATATATATATATATATATATATATATATATATATATATATATATATATATATATATATATATATATATATATATATATATATCCCAAATCTATGGGATTAGAATCCATCAAAAGTTCACGTAATGGAATTTGATAGAATACATAAAGTTCCTTTCACTGGTTGTGTGGACCCGATGTGATGTGACCCCAGGCAGCTGATACAGAAGCCTGACCAAATAAAAGAGAGCTACAAATAAAAAGGATAAGGTATGAAGAGACATTTAAAGGTTGTTTGACTTGCCTGGTCTGACCTGGAGAGCGTCTGGAACGGGGCGAGTGACCTGATCCATCGTACCATCATGAAGAGCAGCCTTGCCGTCGTCTCCTGTGGATGACCAGAGATTATCGTCAAACACAGTCACAACCCGGGAACTAGAGTCCGTTCTTTCCATTTTCTCCTCCGGTCAAAACGCAGTCATTTAGACTAGTCAAAAAGAGTCAAAACTTAGGCAATCCCCCCCCCTCCTAACTTACCGGAGCCGTTTCGCATTAGTCCCGGGGATCGTCAATATTGCGATATTCTTAATTTCCGTTGTTGTTGTTGTTGTTTTAGATTCAGCTACTCAGAACAAGAAGTTCTAGTAGCACGGGCTATGGTGAGCCCGTAAGTGGAGGCTCTCTTAATTTCCGAATCCACCGCAATATATACGGTGGGGTGAATTGATGCACCCGGGTCTTTTCCCCTCTTTCCCTACACTTCACTCCATCTGGTTCTTGAGCCCCTTGCCCCTATCATCTTGGTCCCTCCCTTCGTCCCTCCCTTCGTCCTCCATCTTCCCCTCTACTCCCCAACCCCCGCCGTCGCCTTCCACACCCAGAAGATTTATTATTAAGAAACACTGAAACAAGTGTATTGGTCTACCGGAAAATATATTATTATTATGATCATTAAAAACTTCACAGTAATAACACAATATATTTCACTTGACTCCCTTGAAAATTGAGTGGGGAGTAACAATTATAGATACCAAGGGATATCTATAATTGTTAATATTTCTTAAAGCGTTTAACTTTAGTCTTCATCGACCAGCCTATGTCCATCCCATACCCCAGACCATTCCCCCGTGCAAATTAGGGAGAGGCTAGCCCCAAGTGTCCGGCCTTTAACGTTGGACAGATAAACACATATTCTCATTCCTATAGTTTAGATATCAGTTAACAGAGCTGCTCCTGTGGTCTCGATCTCCCAGGCTTTACACCCTCAGAGAAGTTTACACACGTTCAGGGGCTCTTAATCCCAATGTCATTGCTCAAACAGGTAAACAACAGGCAAGCACATATAATCTCACTCAACAAATACGTACAATCGAAGAGAAAATATAAGAATATTCATTATTCAAACCAGCGACCAAACACAGGGAACAAATAGAGGTAATCATCAACCAGCCATTGTCCCATGCATCCAAACTCACTCACAGACACATTTTAACCAACCACAGACACCCCACAAGTGCGGTAAGCACACGTATATGTCTGAGACGTATTAAGAGTCTTCTCAGGAAAGTTAACTTTCTCCATGACCCACCTGGAATATTTCCCAAGATGGAGCGAAAGGCAGAAGAGTAGGCGCCTGGGGAAGCGAGACTGTCACCTCCGACATCCCTCCCATGGACCCGCTGGTAAGAGGCAGCTTGCCGTTCTGTAGGGTAAAAAAAACAACAAGGGGGTTCTCCTGAGAAAAAGTCTAACTTCTTGAAGGTTGGCGTTCGATCCCCCGTCGGTCCAAGAGGTTGGACACCTTTTCATCCCTGCTTCCTCATATCCCAACTCATATTGTATCCTCAGATCCCTTCTATGTGGTATATAGTCACACTGTCTTAACGTTTTGTCCTAATAATTATCTATCAGAGTCTAGGATTGTAAAAGGATTTTTCACGAGGCGAAAACCCGAACATAAAAAGTTTTATTTTTTGAAGGCTGTTTGCTCTTGGAGTGAACAGGACTCCAAGAGTCCTGTTCATCACACGTGCTTCAAAATAGTATAAAGCTGTAATAAAGATGCTCTAAAGCTGAACAGAAAACACCCAAGACATAAAGTTGTGAATGGCTATGGCACAAATCACCCTCCTCACCCTCCTCACCCTCCAGAGAGACTGGAAGGTGAGTAAGATGGATGACGTAGAGGAACACGAGAATAACAAACATTTATGCTCATTCGTAAACATCAGGAAACAACATTAAACACAAATCATTATAGATTTACGATGTTATAGTCCTCGATTTAATGACGTTTGTTTTCTAAGCCAAATTATTTCTGACTATTGATGGCTACAACATTTTTTACTTTTTTTTTATTTAGTTAAACATATATCAATGATTATTTCTTGCTGATGTGTTCTAACTTGGATTTTGATAGCGGACACGTGTAACGTTCAGTTGTACAGTGAGTGTATGGTGATGATGGTGGCTCTTGATGGTGATGTGAGAGTGTATGGTAATACTGGTGGCACGTGATGGTGAAGAGTGAGTGTATAGTGATGATAGTGGCACTTGATGGCATCGCGTGAGTATATGATAATGATGGCCACACTTGATGGTGACGTGTGAGTGTATGGTGATACTCATAGCACTTATTGTGAATACACTCACTCACTTGAACGTGAGTGTATAGTGATGATGGTGACAACTGAGAGAGGGTGGGGTGTAGGTGGAGTAGTGGAGTGAGAGATGAAGGATGATGCGTAGAGAGATAAACATACCTGGATCTTCTCTGCAGATGAGAGCATATGCAGGAGGCCGTGAGGCTGGGAGGTGGGTACGTGGGGCATAAAGATGGGTGTGGGCGCCAGGATACCCTCGGGGAACAGATGAGGCGAGTGGTGCTTGAGAGAGGGCAAGTGAGGCGGTGGGAAGAGCAGCTGGGGCACCTTGGAGACGTCCTGCGAGGGGTAGTGATCCGGATGCATGATGCTGCCCAGGCCGGCCATACTGCCGTCCTTGTGCTTGCTCTTGCGGGGTCCTCGCTCGTGTTGGACTGCTGTCGGAGGAGAGTAACACCACCGTCACTCTACCAACCACTCACGCCCTGGTACTTGGCCTCTTAGTCTCCTGCTCTCTCTCTCTCTTTCTCTCTCTCTCTCTCTCTTTCTCTCTCTTTCTCTCTTTCTCTCTTTCTCTCTTTCTCTCTTTCTCTCTTTCTCTTTCTCTCTTTCTCTCTTTCTCTCTTTCTCTCTCTCTCTCTCTCTATCTCTTCCTCTCTCTCTCTCCCTCCAGTAAACGTAGGAGCAATGAGGATAACAAGACACGGATATAACAAGATAATCACCATGTTAACACTTTGACATGCATAAACAGCGATATATCCATTACGATAACAACGGAGTTCACTGATAACACTCATGATACCTAATTACGACAAAAAAAAAAACCCACATAGCAGGAAATATTTAGTAAAACAGCCAACACGTTCACTAGCAATATATATTAGTCCGGATTAGAATGAATATTGGATAACATCAGTCATTAGCTAGTTAATGGGACACCAAAGATATCTACTGACTCAAGCACACAGTCAGGCACAACACAACATAACACAACACACACACACACACACACACACACACACACACACACACACACACACACACACACACACACACACACACACACCTCCCTTCATTTCCTGTTCAGAATTCAAGATGCTTGGTCATATCTATACACTCAGTGATACTTCACTGTCCACTCTTGTTCTCTCAGCAGTAGTAGATATAACGCTTAATTTGTAATGTACACACCTTATCGGAGTGCTCGGTCCTACGCTTTCCAATATGTTAACGTAGATTATTAGGTTACATTCCTACTCAAGCTGACGAGGCCGTCACCCTTTACGTAGATGATTTATGCATTACAATAAGCAATTGTAGCCGGCTACGAACTCTCCTTGTCACTCTTGGCATTGAAAGTATTAACTGCATTCATATCATTTCCATGGAGAAATCAAACTAAAATAATGAACACATTGATATCTGGAGGCAATACAAATAACTCTGGAGAGCAACAACAGTGAAACTGAATGCAAACGACATTTTAGGGTAAAAAAAGACTAAGCTTCAACAGAAACTACTTCGTGGTTAAATATGCCTTTCCAACGTAATGTATGTTAGTCCCAAGTTGACTTCCACGCCATACACCTCAGAAATTTTCCCATTATTAAGAACATAGGAACATAAGAATATCTGAAACTGCAGGAGACCTATTGACCCATATGAGGTAGCTCCAGTTTATATCCATCCTAGTTCAGTCAATTATCTCTCTAACCTACGCTTCAAACAAGTCACGTGAAGGCATTAAAACGATATAATATGTATCCTTTTGCTGGGGGAGGCAGGGTCACTATGCTGAGGGAGGCAGGACACCATGCTGAGGGAGGCAGGGATACCATGCTGAGGGAGGCAGGGACACCATGCTGAAGGAGGCAGGGACACCATGCTGAAGGAGGCAGGGACACCATGCTGAGGGAGGCAGGGACACCATGCCGGGGGAGGCAGGGACACCATGCCGGGGGGGGGCAGAAACTCTTACGGTGCATCGTAACCACTTTCCAGTTGAGAGATTGGGCAGATAATCAATAAGGCGGAAATATGAGTTAATAATATATATATTTTTTGTATTACTCTGAATACATCTATGACGAAAAAACCCCAGTTTCCTCAGGTTCGAAATTCAATTTATTTTCGCAAAATAAAATTAATAAACATTAGTTTGTATACTTTGATGAAGCAAAGAGCTTTTTTTGTTTGTCGTGAAATGAAGTGTTTGTAGAGAAGCCAGGGGGAGTGACGCCTCACCCATGGCTGAAGGAAACAGATGAGCGCCGCTGCTTGTAATCTCGGCCTTTTCAGCAGGCGTCAGAACTTGACCGATGACGTGTCAGTCCACCTTCATCACACAAATTGGCCGCGGGGTGCCAGCCACCTTAGAGGTGGGAGGTAGAAAGTGCCGGTAACAGCTGGAGCAGAAAGGAGAAGGGGGAGGAGGAGGAGGATAGGGACGAGTGCCACTCAACTTGAACAGGGAAAGATCCTGAATGCCACGAGAAAAAAATAGTTCCAGCCACCTTAGACTGGAAGGATATGCCATCTCTTGAGAAACTAAAGAGGGTGGGGAGGGGGATCAGATCGTATATATGATCAAAAAGGTTCCATAATAGTGCCAGAAGTTGTGACAGCCAGTCGGGTATTCAAAGCGTTCTTCCAGGATCGAGTGGCGAACATTGCTTCAGTAAACAGAATCGCAAAAGTTAAGACGAAAGGGTTTCAGAGGAGGTTATGTGTTCGTTGACCCTTTTTTAATTTTTTGTCGGAGTTCATTTTCTGGAAGATTATCTTGCGAAGGACTTTTGCCTGTTGCTGATCTGCCAGTGTCGTTTTTAATAACTAAGTCGGGTGTGGTCTTGACGCAGCTCGTCCTCTCCAGTTGCTACAACAGACAGAAATCAGTGTACTAAAGCGCTCGAACATAACTTAACCTATCCTATTGACCACGTATAGAAAATGTGACTGTTTGTGAGCCGCTATGATTTATAGCACCCATTTATTTGGCCGTTGGGGATTTTGACATCAAAATGTGGTCTATTATTCGAGAGGACACAAATGATCTTGATGATCAGATACAAGAACAAAGGCATTCTAGTATGACATTAGAGAAAGACGCTTTTTTTCTGACGTAGGAAAAATAGTTTTTTCTGACGCTCTTATATAACTTAGAGAGAGAGTCTATCCTGAAAGCAGCCTATCCTGAGACATCTCTCTAGATATGTTGCAAATGATTTGGAACCAAGAACATTCCTCTTCTTTATGGTATGTGTGTGTGAAGGTTTTCACCTCCTGAAGACCGCAGGAGTTGTCAGGTTGGGAGACGCGTCACAATAGCGCCCCAGGGTTTTTTTTGGTAAAGGAAGTCCTGAATGTTGGTATTGCAACCCATTATCTGTATAGTCTTAATGGCTTGGTGCTTCCCCCTGATAATTTCCTCCCTTCCTCCTGCTTAGATAGTACTTTTTGTAACTATGAGAACAGCTGTATATATAATAATGAAGTAATGAACAATTGGATAGAAGAATTTGGTACTATTCACTTCTACAGAGTCTGTCAAATAAAGCTATAAACCAAACCTAAATATTCTTAGGCCTAGTAAAGCACATGTATGTACTATATTAGGCCTCAAAGAGCGTGTATTAGGTCCAAGATGATTAGGTTAGGTTTTATTTTGCAAAATAAATAGAAAACCTTCTCCGATTTCCCCAAATTCAAATCGAGACATCCAGTTCCAGATGTCCAGATTTCCAGCTTCCTACGTCAAGAGTCTCAGCTCCCGCCTCACGTCCAGGCTTCCAGTGCCCACCACTTCCTCTAGCGAACCTCCTCATTCCAGTACACCAGCCACGTTCGGGTTTAATCCGGCCCATTAAATTCAACCATTTATCGCCTGTTCAACATTTCAGTAAAATCGCGATTCTTCGATTTTTTCTTGGCAGACTTTGAATTATGTCTCTGGTGGAAGATCTGGTGGATGACCTGGTGGGCGAACTAGTGGGTGACCTGGTGGATGACCTTGTTGGGGTGACTCGATGGGAGACCAGGAGGATGTCCTGATTGATAACCTGGTGGATGGCCTGGTGGCTCACCTTGTGGATGACCTAGTGGAAAACCTGGTGGATGCCCTGCAGGATGACCTGGTAGGTGACCTGATGGATAACTTGGTTCATTATCTGGTGGATAACCTGGTGGGTGTTTTGATGGATGACCTGGTGGTTGACCTGTTTGATTACTTGGTGAGTGATCTTGTGCGTGACTTGTTGGACGACCTGGTGGGTAATATGATTGATTATTTGAACAATGAAGGAGAACCGGGGGTCTTAAAGGAACGTTAAGTTAGACTGTGCCAGGGTGTGTAACAATGATGAGTTGCATGATGACTGATAAAAAGTCTGTGGTTTACAAAATGATAACGACTTGGATAGAGAATTGAAGTTTGAATGCCAAAGAAAGGAATAACGACGATTGTGGTGCCAGGTGTAGGACTGGCGACGATCGTGATGCCACGGGCCGTAATGACGACTAAAGGACTGCGACGAGAAAGGAGAGTACTCGTACATCAATGATTTCGACGTAGGTGGGTGGTAGCGGTGGCTGGCTGGCTGGCTGGCACAAGGATTAATGGTGATGTCAGGGCAGGCTGCCGGGGTTTTCAGAGGGAACGCGGGCGTGTGTCCTGACTGATGGCTACACTCTCGTCCTCACCATTAACAGGAGGGGGAGGCCATCCGCCACTCCCCCATCCGCTCCCATCGATTCAATTATGGCCGCCAAGTGACTGTGACTGGCTGGCTGGCTGGCTGATACCTCCCTCTTCGCCTGTATTACCCCGACAGGAGTCTTCAGGAACTTCCCATTGGTATTTTCCACTATCGCGCCAGCAGGTGTCTGCTGTCATGGTTTAAAGACTAAACTAATTCCTAAGATTAGTCTAGGAACTTTTTCTCTGCCTTATTCCTTACATCGAGAGGATCATAGAAGATTATAAATGATAATAAGTTCTAGATCTAGCACCTTCTGCAAGAATTTATCTCCTTATAAACGAATTATATATCTTAGGGCTCTGTTTGATGTTCTCTAATATTAATATATCTGTAAGCTGCATTAGTTCATTACCACAGTTTGATTGTGTATATTCTTTCCAGGAGTCTCTTAAAGCCTTCGACTGTATTGGCAACCAACAGGCTCTTAACCAACCTAAATACAACCAACAAGCTCACAATCAACTTAAATATAACCAGCAGACACATTACTGAACATTTCCAACACGAGCATCCCTGCGCGCTCCTGCCATTACATTGTCAACAATCTTTTCATTTCCCAGTACCGTCAGCGAGCTCAACGAGCGCCTCTGGATGGCAATCAAAAAAGAAATTATAGTACAAAATAAGAGACTGCCTGACCTCGTCTGCGTTGAAGTCCAACGTAAACAAGAGATGCT